TAAATTCATCCGCAAAGCCACTGGAACTCGGTGGTACGAGCAAAACTCCGACTTACACAGAGACTGTCAACTCCCGATGATCTCTGAATATTTCTTGAGAGGTCCAAGACACATTCCAACCCAGAAGTGATAAAGTCAGCAAGTTACGCCCTGACTCCAAACGGCGGAGGCCACGCAACGTTTTAATCGAACTCCCTGTTCCACTAGATTCCGACGACACAAGTGTCGCCGACCAGCCACACACGAATACTGCACATTCACCTAGTGCAATAAAAATTCAAATAGTACGTCGGATGGGATGCAGCGAGTACTCAGATGGCCGTCTCGCACACTACTCCACACCTCGTACACATAGTACACATACGTTCCTGTGTGGTTCTACCGCCCTGAACATCGAACCATATGAGTTAGCCGTCAGAGTCGGAGGCCTGCGACACCCCTAATTGGACATCCGTAAGATAACTCATTTACATGCACTTTCATCTGATGTATCGGTATGAAAGTAACGATACAGATCAATGCAGAATGACGCCAATTTATTTTAAGATTGCGGCCCTCAAGCCGCGAGCCCTGACACCGACGAAGCTTTAAAAGCAATAAGGCTAACATCACCAAAATCATCAAAACCACTCGTTAAATTTGGTACATTATTTTTAAAATGCACTAATGTGTGAAAAATACACATTTTATTAGCAAGAAAAACTATTGAATAAAATTTATGCACAAGTAATCTTAAATTGCTTATTACATTATACATTTACATTTCTGCGTGATAGAGCCAAGCTGCAGTTAAATTATTGTTGTAGCACGAATTGGTCAGCTCAACCGGGATGCTCCCATAGAACATCAGTGTAAAATAATAGCGCAATGCTGCTGTAATTCGTATGGTGAGTTTAGAAAACCGGAGAACCTATTTACTGGAAACGTTGCATTATTTCTTAGTCCACATTGGTGACAACGTATCCGAATTTTAATTCAAAATGGAGGATAAATTTAGATGTCTATGAGCCACAGCATCCAATACCAATAAGTAGACTGTGTGACAAATAACTCTTATTCTTTAAAAATATACCACAAAGTTTGGCATTTGTAATCGAACATTACCATTTTTAGGCACGTTTAAGCAACTATACGTTTTTACATATATATGACAAAAGATTAATACATCATATTATATTTTGTAGACTACGCTTACAAAATTATATTGACTTTGTTTCATTTATATTCACAATAAGATCCAACTTTGTTTGTGTGGAGTATGCTTGGGAGATAATAGTCCTTTGTGTCGTCTGATTATTACATTTCTATTTATCCTTATTATATTTTAGAAACAAATTTTTTATTATTATTCTGAAATTAAATTAGATTTCTATTAAAAATAATTTTTAATACAGTTGCTCAAAAAGTGGCGTATTGCAGTGACGTATAGCGTTCGGGATGTGGGCTAATAAATACTCGAGCTTTTTATTTACCTTTTCCGAATTCGTGCGTTCTCTTTCCCAACTGTCAAAATAATGTCTATTAAAAAGAAAACCCCAACAACGACGTTTTTGTTTAAAAAAAATCATAGAAGTTTTTATGATTCATGAAAATATTTCTAAAAAGAAGGTATTAATTTGTTTCAATATCAGATTTAATGATTTGATTTAATAAGTTAGGTTTCATTTCATTTCATCTCATTAAATTTCATTTTCATTTCATATCAATAAAAAGACTTAGCTGTATGGGCATAGTTCTCTTTACCTACCCAGAACACCCAGAAAACAAAAACAAATTTCTGCTTATATTTTTTACAGTTGGCGCTATTTTCCAAAAATGTTCTTTACGAGTTTAGTTGTTTGTTGCACAAATTGAGTAATTTCTACGATATTTTATTTGAATTTACACCACCGGAACTCAGTATCATTCAACAAAATGCTTCGAAGAACATTTTACCGGAAAAGTTAAAAAGTCGCTACATATCTACATACGACGAATTTATTGCGTGTAGAGAAGAGAAAAAAGTAAATAGTTTTTCAGAAAATGTTATGTTAACATACTTCTCCGAACTATCAGCAAAATTAAAACCTTCTACGTTATGGTCGAGGTTTTCGATGATTAAAAGTATGCTGAAAATAAGGAACAACGTAGATATAAGTGAATACCCAAAATTAAATGCTAAACGACAATCAGACGATTTTACAACTAAAAAGTCGAAAATATTAACATCGAATGAAGTGGAAAGGTTTTTAAACGAAGCTCCCGATGATCGTTATTTAGCCACAAAGGTAATTTATTAATACATTTTTTCGAAACTGTATTAAAAATAGTTGTTCAGTACACGTGCGGAATCATCACGCCTCGGCTCGGGTAGACATTTGTCGGAACCCTTTGCAATGACAGGCTTTCAAAAATACAACTTGGTAGTAAAATATTTCCCATTTATCACTTTATTTATTTTTTAAATCCTTGTGGTAGGATTGGTGGTTATTAAACAAAGAGCGAATGTGAATCCTATCAGAATACAGTCGCTTCATCATTAACTGAATTAGTGTTTCTTCTTTAATTAGTAAATGAAGCTTGTAAATTGAGTAATGCATCCGTTGTATGGTTCACTATTGGCATTTTCAGTGAAATTTGTAATTCCAAGTCAGAGCAGTCAATCATATTGAAAATTCTGTTTGTGTAAAGTGGCAAATTACTTTTTCTTTTGGTTGCCGAGTTCCTATGATAGTATTCCTAGGTTTCGTAGATTATTCGTATTGAAATAGGATTGTATAAACTAAATTCCTCACTTGTGGCAGTTTGCGGATGTATTTTAATTTCAGTGAGAGAAGTATTTAATATATTCAATGGCAGTAAAATATTGAGAAATAAATAAATTTAGATTTTTTTTAGATTTACATTCATATATGTAATTGTAAACGTGTCTGTCGATGTCCGTAATGAATCAAGTAACTGAGCTCTCTCAATAATCAATAAAGTCTGATCACCTAAAAGCACTGAATTATATTAATTGTATTTCCAGCCGAATAAAAAGCTTCTATTAATTCACTAGCGACCCGCCATTGCAACGCCTGTATAGGATCTATTATTTTAGCGTTATTTATATTTAAGAATATGGAACACATTTATTTAAATAGCTTTTTAAAAAATATACTCCAAATATTTCAAATAGAATACGGCCTAGATCACTCCCAGTATTGTTTGTTATCTGTTCGTGAATTTTCATTAAAATAGGTTCAACCATTCTGAAGATAAGCATGAATAAAACGGACAAAGTTTTAAAAATGATTTTTCATGTCTTAATAACATGTTTTTCGTTATTACAGACTGAAACTTCGATTTTATTTATATCTGTAACATTAACTACAACCCACTGCTGAACATTAGGTCTCCCCATAGATTGCCTCTTGAATTTTTACTTAACATTTCCATTTTTTTTATGTTCTATTTGTTATCCTAAGATGCTACTACCTACCTCTAGTCTCTCTCTCTCTCTCTCTCTCTCTCTCTCTCTCTCTCTCTCTGTTGTCCATTTTTAGGTGACGTTTTTTAAATAAATCAATGCTTCTCTTTTTTTATGCCAGAGCAATTTAAGCAAAAACTGTTACAGAAAATCAAACTTTATTAATACATAGAGCAAAAATAAATTTTCAGTGTATGTCTTACCACTAAGTGCTTACACGTGCTTAAATATTTTAAATATTTACTCCACTCTACGGTGAAAATTGTATCATGTGAAATAATTTTATAAAAAAACTAATGTTATGATCGTGTTATTTCACTTAGAGATTTAAAAATTAATAGCCTCGTCCCGAATATTTAAAAATATACTGAAGTTTAAGTATATTTTTAAATATTCGGGAGTTGTAAATCATCTGCTGCAGCCTTAAGTTAGTTATTATACACTTTGTTTTGAGATTCTGCAACATCGTTTGCCTTTCACTTTTCGAGTATTACTTATTCCCCGTAAACTAAACTAAGCTAAAGTGTATGAATACTCTAACTTTTCTGCTCGGACATATTACCAAATTTTGGTATAAGCCCCCTATCGCTTTTGAGATTTACTTTGTTAATAATTAATTTAATCTAAATAATTAATAGTGATCAAGTAGTCCACCGTGTTACACCAATGCATGTTGGAGAGCTTTTCTCACGATGTTTTTCTTCAGCACCGAGCATGTGGTAAATCAGCTTTGTAAACTGTAATTAACAATTTCATTGCTGCTGTACAGTAAAATTTATGGTGAGCACTTATTTTATAAGCTAACACGGCTTCTCTATCATCTTAATATATCTAAACAGACAGGAGTGTGATATTTAAATGCTACATTTGAGCACACAATATTGTGTAATTGTGTTACAGTTTGAAGGGTGTAGAGAACTGGGTCAACTGCCTTCTTATTTATAATAATAATAAGGCGTAGGGAAGTGACGACCCCACTGACCGTTGACATTACAATACGGTGACAAACCTGCTACGTCGGTGCAGTCAGTCAGCACCTTGCCAAGAGGTGTGAGCGCCGTGCCTTGGCAAACCTGAGGATGCAAAGGCCCGTTTGTGTTTACGGCCGTACAATGAAACGGTGCCGAGCCTGGACGTCTCCCATTAATTGACACCCAGAAATGAATGATGGATAATAATAGATAACGTATAGGACCGCTGCCTGGGGGTCGCCAGAGTGCGTCTGGAGCTGGCACTGGACGCGGCAGGATGCAGGCCGCCAGCCGAGCGCGAGGTGTTGCACGATCACCTAGCAACCCCCCGAATCCATCATCCCCACCAATAGATAGTAAATATTGGCGTCGGCAGGGTCCTCTCGGACTAGGCAAGCAGCATCCATCGATGGTGTTAGAAAAAAAATATGAACGCAAACGCATTGCGGGAGTATTATATGGCGAAAGGGTAATAAATTGCAGGTATAGCGTATCGGTCTAGGATGCATTGCTTTTTTGCTGAGCTGGAGCTGTCTATTCCCGTCACGGAACAAAACCTGGCGGACCTAGATTGGTAAATCATGCGCTCGAAAATATTTGATGATGCCGAACTCGAACGACTACGGTGTGAGGCCATTCCCTCATCGAATGAATCGGTTATGGCTGGAGATACGGCTTCTCAGGCCACTGACCAGTATCCATACTTGAAAGCCGCCATGGATCTTCCAGTTGTAGTTAATTCAGACAATGTTGAAATACTACACGAATCTCACACGAACTAAAGCAAATGAGGAGCATGTTGGAAGAGGCGATTTCGGAAACGCGCAGCACCCCTCTCTAAAATCGAATGTGACTTCCACACATACCCCTACGTAAGCAAAACCTGGCTGTCGTGAGGGCTCTTAACCCAATGCTGGTACCCTAATTGGAAGCCATCTCGGACTTTTGCGAGACGGACTCAATTCTTTTTGGCGCCGCAGCGGCAGTTTGTCTTATTATTGGCACCAAATTTCTCATGTCAGGACGCGCTACTAGACAAAGTAGAGCCATCCCGGCTTGGAGAAAAATAATTGAGGACTGTATGGAAAAGGCAACGACCCTTATTGGCAGACTTACAAGCTTCAGTTCAGTTAGTAATAGACCGAAGTACGCACTGTTAGAATAGCGTTTTCTGGGATAAATATCAGTTTTTCCCAGCCAGATATCACGCAGACACTAACGGAGCGCATAGATGACCTGAAGCAAAAAACCGCTGCTTGGGGGAAGCGGATTCGACGATTTATTGAGAGGTCAAGGTGATTTAACTAGAATCGTCTCTTCCAGAGTGATCAAAACAGGCTCTATAAATCATTGGAGCGACCAATGATACATAGAACGGGCCCAACACTGGATCAGGCTGACATTGTGGCATTCTGGAGTAGCCTGTGGTCAGGGTCCGTAAGCCACAGTAAGGGCCCTTGGATGGAAGTTATGGCGAGCCTGGGTGTGAATATTAGGCACATGGATCCCGTCATTATAATGCCGAAAGACGTAGCTGAGGCGGTCCATAGGCCTCCGAGCTGGAAGAGTACGGGTCTTGACGGGCTGCATCACTTTTTGCCCTTTCAGCCAGTGAAAGGGCTTGTGGTGTGTCATGCTGTGCTTGCCCGACAGTTTCAAGAGACTCCCGACCAGAAGTCGCTTCCGAGCCTCTTCACTACGTGTACAAAATATACGGCGGGACCTTACTGGAGATGATAAGTACTCGACCGGAAACAATGGAAAAGTCTGGAGGAGGCTTTTCTAAATAAAATTCCGAAATAAGAGAATATAGTGAATATATTGTTATGCTAATAGTTTCCTTAAGCTGTCTTATTTTAATTAAGTTAAATATTAATAACAACAAATAAAATAAATTTAATTGTTCTGAATAATTTATATAAGACTTAATATCATAGATTTATTCATTAATTAGTTAATTTTTAATAGCCATGATGCGCTATAGTATAATATTTTAATAATTATTCTAATTGATAATGTTAGTAGTAATATTACTAATTGAATAAGGTAAAATTTAAAAAGAACATTTAGTTAAAAACTTTATATTGACATAAAAATAATACAATAAATGTTTCATTGAATCCATAGGTGCTCAAACTAGTGTAAAATTGTGTTTTACGGGCCAGTGGTTTTTGCGTGAAGAAAGAAGGTGCGTACGTGTGTGTGTGTGTGTATGTTATATATATATATATATAAATGTGTGTGTGTGTGTGTGTGTGTGTGTGTGTGTGTGTGTGTGTGTGTGTGTGTGTGTGTGTGTGTGTCTTATATTCTTAATAACGTTATTATTGTCGTGGAAATGTTTTTGTTAATATGAAACTGTTATCTTGTTGTATTCTAACCAACTGAATTACATATTTATCATCTTAGTTATTGTTTTTGTACGAAAAAAAGAAATTCAAACATTTTTTACGAAATAAACCAGAAACCACAAATAATACTACTGCGAATATTTCGCTGACAAATTGCACATAACATTAAAAATATGTTTTGTTATGGCTCCCATTGTATGCTTACATAATAAAACAGCAATAAAGTTTAATAACTTTTATTATATTTTACATGCTACATTTCTTAAGTTACCAGTTCTTCCAAAATTTTTCACCTATTTTTTATAAGACAATTTGTAGTATCTAACACTTCGTCATACATTGTATTTACGATGTATTGAACACTTATATTAGCACTAAGATATTTTCTTCTTGCTCATTAAGTTCGTAAATGTTGATTTTAGTTAGACGATAACCTCGTTTGTCCTTATGTTGGCGGATAGCATATGATGATGATGATGATGATTCTTGAGAACGGTTTCTCTTACTGGAATATTTTTTGATTTAGATTGCAGCTCTTCATTCATAACTATTCTATTTATCCACATACTGAGCACAGTAATACGGATTAATGATAGGATGAGATAGGATATTACGAAATTATAGTAGAAAAAGACTAATAAAAATTACGCCTGATAAAGCATATGTATGTTTATCATATAGCGGCGGTATAAGAATATCACCTACCCCATATCATTTAATAGGTATCGTAAGAGGCGACCAAGGGAATCAGAATATGGGTAGAAGCACCTGCTTAATAATGTCTAAAAGTTAAAAACTGTGGTTGCGAACCCGCTCGCCCAGCGTGGCAACTATGACAAATGAATATCTCTAAGTATGATTAAAACTACTTTTACGGATTTTATCGCGTATATCATGGTCACGGGGGACTGGCACATGGGTGCTGGAAAGCGCCCGAAACGTCGGGAATTAAAAATAAAAGTAAATATAAAGTAAAAATAAACGCGATAAAATCCGTAAAAGTAGTTTTAATCATGTATAGTGTTCGCGTAAATATAAGAAATCATTATCTCTAAGTATGCTCAGTTCATCCCCGTATATCTTGAATAAATTAGAAAGAAAAAACAAATCTCAAAAAAAACTTTATATTGTAGTGAATGTTTTTTTATTTTATTTACGACAATAAAACTAAATAACATGTTTATTACATTTTTCCCTTAATAATAATATGAAATTAATATGAAACTGTTATCTTGTTGTATTCTAACCAACTGAATTGCATATTTATCATCTTAGTTATTGTTTTTGTACGAAAAAAAGAAATTCAAACATTTTTTACGAAATAAACCAGAAACCACAAATAATACTACTGCGAATATTTCGCTGACAAATTGCACATAACATTAAAAATATGTTTTGTTATGGCTCCCATTGTATGCTTTTTTCTCGCTATAAAAGAAATCAAAAACGATGAATACGTTTCCAGAACACTATTTTCAGCAGACCCATTATTACAAAAAAAAAAAAGATCTTGTAACATAAACAATATTTGTTTTGTGATGGCTGCTTAAAATATTCAGTCATTGCATTTCCCCAGGGTATAATATATTAAATTCATTTCTTCTACGTATACGTACGTTCCGAACGACGTAACAAACCGTTTGGTTGAAATGCGTGGTATGTTAACAATAAAGGAAGACCAGTCAAATATGGAATGGAGTGGAAGTATTTAAGTCATGCAAATTCTGCGCAAACTCTCCAAAATATTTCCTGTAAAACAACGAAAAGCTTGCCTCTTTGCACCTTTGCTCCAGACTATCAAGATGGGTGGGTTACTAAGTATTAGTTGGCTTCGCAATTTACATTCTGATCAATTTTACAAGTTCATTTAATCCCCAATTTTCTACTATATCGTCTTCAAATTGTGTCTTTTTAGTCTTAAAGCTTAAAAATTTCGTTTATGGATTAGTTATAAATATGTAACTTATTTTGGGTATTAATATAACGCAATGTAACAAGTGTCATGTCATAAACAAGTTGTACTCTTGGCAAAAGAAATCGTATCTCCTTAAAATGATTACATTGAGTGATAAGGTTTAGAAAAATATATAATATTTTCGACTACTACGTTTATAAAGTCGTAGAGATAAAGCTAATTCAAAATAAAGGATAACGAACTGTAACTTGTCGAAATGAAATTGTACTCCGATCTTCACGCAGGCCAAACCTGGTCAAAAGCTATTAGAATACTATGAATTAAATTATATTAAATATTTTTATATAAAAATTGCAAATTTTACTATGTGGTAGGATTTCTTCTTGGTAGTAACTACGCTCTTAGCCATTTTTGCCGCCAGTTAGTAGAACTTGCACTATTGCGTTCTGGTCTGAAAAGTAAAGAGAGTGAATCAATTACAGGTTCAGAGTATCCTAAGTAGCTTTCTTTGTTTAAAATTAGTTGGCTGCAGGTGTCCACTGTAATAGCCACATACCATCAGGTGGATTGTAAGTTCATCTATTATTTCAGTTACAACAAAGCTCGTGTACGCAACTACAAGCTTAATTTATGACCTTGCAACTACCAAGAGCAAGTATGTAAGACAAAGATTTTTTCGTCTGATGTCGTCTATTCGAACGGGTTTTTAATACGCGACTTAACTACGCAAATTTATAATACATCGAAAATCAGCCATATCATAGCGCGTGTTTCTACACGTGTAGAGACTTTGTAATACCTTTACTCGGTTGCGGCCTTAGCAAATTTTTTGGTTGTTGTGAGATTTCATAGTGGCACCCCCCTAAATACAAAGCCTTCGTGTTCCTATACTATGCAGTTGCTATTTCGTGAATTTTAAATAGTATTAGACCTATCAAATATCTACAGGTGTATATGTGGGGCACGCACAGTTGTGTCTGTCGCTCTTGTCATAGCAGTTATTCTGCTTATTCGCGTTAAAGAAATGTTGTCCGTTCCGTTTGCATTACTCTGTTGCGCTCGACGACGCCAATATGCTTGCCATGCTGTGGTGTGTAGTTTTACAGATCATTACTCATAATAAGAGCTAATAATCTTATTTGACAACTTTTATTTAATCTCTTGTTCTGCAGAGTGTTAAAAAAATAAAAGAACTAATAACAACAAACTTAATGAAAAGCTTAGATGGTCGGCTTTTTAGCTTATGCGCCTGCATTTTTTTTTTATTAATTCGGAATAATTTAACTTCTGGGTAATAGAATTTTCTATGGAAAATATTTCAAGATATGACAGTCTTTCCTGACACATAGTAGAAACGTAGGTAAAATTTTAAATATTTTAATGTATTAACTCTTCAACAAAAGATCTATCGTGATCGCTGATAAGGTTATAATTTACTGCTGAGCCCAATGTCTTCAATGAATAGGAGTTGTTTAGCTGTGAACAATTTAACTTCTTCCGGGCGAAGTAGATAGTT